CCATGTGCTGCAGCCTGAATTAACACAGCATAAAATGTGGTACCATCCAGAGTTATGGTGAATATGAAATATATTTATTGTCTTTGCCAAGCAGAAAGCAAGCTGAGTTCTAATGACTAACCGGTAATTGAAGCCATATGGATTCAACATTAGTTCCCATATGAAAACCAGGAAGGTTGACTATTAAGAGCACTGGAACAGGCTGTCCAGAGAACTTGTGGATTCTCCTTTTTTGAAAATATTCAAAACCTGCCTGGATGCAACCACCCTGTGTCCCRTGCTCTGACTGTCCCTGTTGGAGCAAGGGGGAAGTTGGACTAGATGACCTCTAGAGGTCCCTTCCAACCTCAGCCACTCTGTGATTCTGTAAGACTGGAAGTTCTRAATATAGTATTTACCATTTCTCAACCCTGTCTAATTCTTTAAAATTGAATTGTTAATCAAAGTGAAAATTATAAAACAAAACTTCRAAGACTGTGGAAAGTAATTCAGTCATTATCTACTTCACAGCCACATTCAGACAACAAAGTAGAATATAAGAAGTCTTTCACAATCTGAAGAGCTAAATTTCAGGCCTGTCATTGTCCTTTCTAAAGCCTGTACATCATTCAGATGGAATATGATTRTTGGCAACGGTAAAGATGCTTTAATTGTCTTTTATTTTCTGTACTCATGGGATAGTTCAGAGTGTGAGACATGAACATTCCCGGTGACAATTTATCTCTATATACATGTGGTTAGTTCACATGTTATCTCTTTAGGGGTTATGATATCCACTGTAATAAATATTTCAAAGGCTGATATGAAAAGGGAATGATGTTCTCTAAGATTATTTAATTGTTTGAAATACTGGCACTTTATTGTCGAGATGACCTTGTCCATAGAGAATTTAAAAATATTCATGGAGGAAAAAAAAGAAGTCTGAATATAAAAAACTTATGGCTGATGTGGTAGAACTTCAGCTATTATAATTCAATACAATTACTTATTGCACATGTCAGTAGAAACATGTGCAGAGACTAGGGGTCAAGGCTGGATGATTGCACATAGTAAAGATTCTTAAATGCATAGAGAAACGTGGCAGAGAATGTTTATAGATGTGCTAACTAACGTATCTACCAAAACTTCGGTGAAGCTCAGTTGCAGTGACTACCAGCATGGGTTGCTAAGCTACAAAGATATCTTTATAGTGTAAATCAAGGTATGCCTATCTTTATAGTGTAAATCAAGGTATGCCTATCTTCCAAAGCACTGTGGAAAATCTTGGGAGCGAAAATAATACTTCAAAATGCAACTGCCTTTCAATAAAGTTTGGCAAGATACTACTGCAAGGTAAACAGAAAGTTCAATATCCTTTGTTTAACTTGTCTGAAGAAGTTTAAGTCTCTTAATCCTGTCAGTTTTTTTTTGTACTYGGAACTCTCCAGATCAGGTTATAAGTATATCTTTTCTGTTGTAAAACTCCAGTAGTGAAAACAGGCATTGTTTCCAATCTCATGTGTTTACAATTTTATTTGATTGCTATTCCAACAGATTTCAAGCTATGGATTTAAAGTATTAATGTTCTTATGGCTGGAATTTGTTCCTCTTCTAACAAAAACTTCTAGTTGCATTTTTTTGATCTTATTCCTGTTAGTCTGCATTTTACTTAAGTCACATTTTTTTTTCTCCTTAAATCACCTTGGATCAAGTTTTCACTGTTGTCTTTCATGTGAGTTATTTTACCTAGCTGTTCTGAAAACCAGCTCGTGGCAGTAGTATGTGGAGTATGCATGAAAGATCCTAGACTAGCAATAGGAACAAGTCTGGCAGGCTGGAGTACTAGTTGTCTGAAGTAACTTTTTGTGTTCAGGACGAATGTAATAGAAACATATCCTCCACTTGTGACTGTGGTCTCCTCTTGGAAGAGCACACCATAGTGTAATGTAGCATAACGTATTTGCATCCTTTTCATGTAGCAAGGGAAAATAACCATTGCAAATGAAATTGATCCTTTCATTGGAAAAGTTGCCTTGTCCCAAGTGATTTTATCATTGTTTTAGTAAAAAGTGTCTTGTTTCAAGCAGCCTTTACAGACACATTAGAAGCCTGTTAAAATTCATATTAATGTGTTGCCCTACAKTTTAGAGTCTGTGAAGTTTTGTCTATATAAGAAGTCTGGGTATCTTCCCCAACACTTCGCAGAGATCTGTCACCGTTTGGCAAAAGGAAAAGAAAAGCATTCTCACATGCTTTTCTGCTCAGCTGAGTTTTATGAGAGAGGCTTGGTTGCCAAACCTGGGAATTTTAAAATCATCAGACAGAAACATTCATTCAGTCATTGCTGGTATGTCATGCCAGAGGCTTCCATTTTATTATGGAGAAAAAAAAAAAAAAACAGTTGTGCTGTATTTAATAAACAGTTGGAATATATAATAAATTCCATTTGACACATTTTTAAAGCAGAGGAAAAATGATTAAGCTGTCATAGTTTCGGCCAAGAGAAAATAATTTCTGCCTGTGTGACAGAATGACTCTATGAAAAGGTATCGCTTTCTCCAGCCTTAGTAGACTTTAGTGGATTACAATCTTCAGTAAGGACGTGAGTAAATGAGAACTTTATTCTAATATTAGATTCCCTTWAAAAAGTGAAATATCTTTTGTTGTGAAATCACTTGAAAATCACCTTTTCTCCTACACTGCTTACTTTGTCATCCCTCTATTGACCTAACAGGGGAAAGATAAACAGAAGAGCTTGGCTTCCAGATTTAGATATGAATTTTTGTGTGTAACTTTTAGATTTCAAATTACCACAACATCCACTAATAAAACCTTAGAAACATGTAAACCTTCAAAGCTTGTTTGAAATCTGAGTCCCTAAGAACTGAGGAATATCAGTTGTGACATTTTCTATAAATGTTTAAAATTAAATAATAACAGTCTGATGGTGATTAACTATTCCTGCACAGAGTAATGACATCTCAACTCCAGAAGCCAGGACATACAATGATCAGGTACATGCTGCATTTTATAGATTAATTTGGAGATATCCCCAGAGAGTTTTTTTCTGGTCTGTTCTAGATTTGATATGTTAATTTGTGAGTTTCTTTCTTTTGCTGTGTTTATGATGGAGTGATTTTTATACTGACTACATTGCACTACGTTGATGCAGAATTCTCAGCTACTGTACACRGTCCCAAAACCAAACTATTTGAAATGAGAATTCACACAGAAAATTGGTCAGATTATTATTTCTTGAGAGAGGAAAAAAAAAGCACAACAAAAACACCCACAACCCACTACTCAAAGACCAAATTTAACTCGCCAGCAGAGCCTGAACACAATTGAATCAGGTTTTTATATTTGATTATTTAAAAATGAGTGAAAGCAGGTGGGGCTGGGCAAGGTGTGAATCAGTCTTCAGATTTAACACTAAAATTGAATCAACTTGGGGGAAGAGTAGAAGTTCAAATACAGACTGACCAGTTAATCTGAAAGCTGTGTGAGTGGACAAATCATTGACAGCCTTGTGAGCACTGGCATGCCAGGAGTTTGCCGTTTCAGAAAAATATGTAAGAAGAATGAAAAGTCAGTGAACATTATTGGTAAGAAAGAACTCTTATAATCCAAGATAAGAAAGAATCCAAATATACCAGTGTCTGGTATATACCAAACCATATTGGGGTTACATTTGCACCAAAAGGGATATGAGACGGAAATGTAACTTTTTAACATGTAATTATTATCAAAGAAATTTTATTATTTTTGAACTCAATTCTTAAACTTTTAAAACTATCAAACTCTTCTGAAGATGACGAAGTTTTGTATGTCCTAAGCATATGCACTCATTTAAAAAAAAGTAAAGAAAAAACAGTTATTGCTTAAAATGAGCATTAATTATTCTTCGTAACAAAGCTTGATTTTTTTTTTAATCCAAAACTATACAGTGCCTTTCACAAATTTTGGGAAAACAGTTATGTGAACAGTTTTTACAATAAATAATCTGTCTTCTATAAATGTACAAAATCATGCCAGCAAGTAAGAAACTGATACAAATGCAATAACTGGAAGATATATTTACTTTTATAACTATAATAATTTATTTATGAAATATATCCACATATATATAAAATATATATTTTTGGCAAAGAACTCCCTTGTTTCAAAAAAAAAAAAAAGCATTACCATTGTTTTAAGTCTATATAAACATTTTTTTCTGCTCCCTATTTTTTATTTTGCCTTTTTTCTTTTTGTCTCTATGTTCTTATAAAATATAATTTATTGTCATCTGGTTACAATTTAACCTATGTCCCCTAGGAAAAGTCTGCTGAAGGTCAAACCAGAAAAGATCTGTAATGTCACAAGTAAAAGGTTTCCTGTTCCTTTTTTTTAAATTATATTAAAAAACAGGTTATGAAAAATTTACTCATACTTTTTAGCTTACTCCTGCATCCCCCTATCAAAAAAAGTCAACAACTCCTATAGAAATCATTCACATGGAAAATTCTCCAAGGAAGATATTTTTCTTTTTGACAAGTTTTCAGGTTGTTCAGTGATGATGTTTCGATGAAGAGTTAAAAATATGTTTTATCATATTAGCAAAGATGAATGTATCTACTGTGGATGATATGTAGGGGCTTAGACCAGCAAATGGTCTAGTACAGGAAATTGATTGTATGAAGTTTGATTTTAAGTTCCAGTTTTATGATATTGGGTATCGAACTTTGAAGTCTAGAAAAAAATCGTGCCTAAATTAGGTTATCTATTGAATAATCAATGTATACTCTTAACTTGCTATAGTTATAATAATATTTATATTAGCCATTCATATTTATTCTGCATAGATACTGTCATTTAAACATCTGCCACAAAGTTACAATATGATTCAGGCTTTCATACATTAATGAGAGAAACATTTTATTGATTTATTCTTAATGAGAACTCATATACAGGCAATCCCTCTCTAACTCATCACATTCTCCCATTACAACTGCCTGCATAAAGTTTTAGCTGGTTCTTCAGGCAGACAGCAAGTAGTCAGTGGAACAGCATATTTCTATTGTACTTTATAAAGTCAGGTTGAAAAAAATGATTCCTGAAACTTTGTGTTGCTRCATTTTGAATCCTCCTTTGAATTTTGCTTTGACGCTGAAACATTCCCTGCCAAGTTACGTGATGATTATCCTTTACTGAGACTCTCATGAGAGGAGCATGGGAGCAAGCTTCGTCAGACAGGTTCACATGCCCTCAAATTGGCATTGATGAAATTTAGTGTTACGTGCTTCTGGATTCTCCACTGGCATCAGACTGAAGCATCAAGTTTGTCCATCTCAATGGAGAGATGTAGTTTAAGTTCTTGCTTCTGAGCTTCAGCAAATAAACGTTAAACCTTTAAAAGAAGAAACAAAAAGAAAGAAAAAAAATAGCTAGATTATTCTGAACCAACAACTAATTCCTCCTGATCCTGATAGATGTGTAATCTCCCGATCATCTTCATTTGTGCACACAGTGAATGTTACCCAGATGGCAAATTAGCTCTGATTAAATAATAAGATGGAGAAATTCATCCTGGAGACTTGTAATCCAAATGCTTCCCCTGAGAGCTAAAAGGGCTTGGATGGTAAGGTAGGGGTGTGCGTGTCTGTGTGCGTGTCTGTGTTTCCTAAATTCTGTGGTTCTAATGGCTGCTGTTTTTCATTCAAAACCAGAAGTATTTGATAGCACTAAAATCATTTTATATTTCTTGTATAGCACTATCTTAAGATTTGGAATTGGATCTTTTTGAAACTGGTTACTAGGTTACATTAAAGTCTTCATACATGATGTCTAAATTAGATTTTCACCTCCAAAGATCTTTTCCACAAAGTTTGTTCTGTTTTCTGAACTTTGGCAACTCAAATGTTACTAGAGCACTGCACCATGACATGTGGCTTATATTGTTGCAGGGCTAAATGAGCAAAAAGATGATAGACAGTAACAGCCCTGGCCTTAAAAGGAAAAAGAAGTGTGGGACTGTTGCCAGAAATATGTTGGCTTATAGCCAGAGAATTCAACTCTAGAAGGAGCTATAGCAGCACAGCGAAGGCTGGAGTCATTCTGTGTATAATCAGTTATTTAAAAAAACCTTATTTCAAAGAAAAAAAAAAGGAAAAAAAGTAGTAAGATTTGTTTGAAATAATTCAGATGTCAGAAAATACTAAAAAATGGAAAATTCTTATTTCCATTCAACATTAAAAATCAGCATCTGTTACATACCTGATGGTTCAGAAGCTCCCAAACTCTCTGTGCTACTCAATGAAAGCATGTTCCTCTTCTCTGCATACATCTTTCTTCTCTATTGTTTTCACTGATCCATGATTTCTGAAGAGGGAAGGTTTGCTAAGTTCTTCACTGTGATCTAACCAGTCATACAGAGCTATTTATCAAGTGTTAAATGACATATTTTTCTTTAGACTACATAATACTTGGCATTCTTATCTAAAGTATTGCAATATTAAGCAGGCCTTGAATTACCCTGTTTGTTCTTCTAATTGGAAAGGAAATTGGCTGTTTCCAAAATGTCACATCATAAAAAGAAACATCAGAAATAAAAATTCAAAATACCAGACATAAGAATTTTGTTTAAAAACATTTGCTAACCCTTTATTGTGATACACGCAGCTTGATTATTTAGCTTCATGAAATAGTCAAATTATGTAGACAGTTAGCAGTGTTAAGGAAGGATACTCACCTTCTTCTGTCTTGAGTTCTCCTGCAGAACTGCATACACTGTTTGTCATGTGCATCCAAACAAGAGCACCGAAATGAAGACTGGAAAGTACTTTGAATCTGGCCTGTAGACCTTTTGCCTCTAAAACTGCCTCTGTAGTTAGATAGTCCATATGGAACAGTCCTCCTGTAATGAAAATCACAATTATATATTTTACAAACCAGTAATAGTTCTTTTCATAGAAAATAGACCTGTTGATGCAAGCTAATAAACACTGGCACAAAACTCAAACCATTTGCTCATGTGAAAAGCTCTCCTTGTAACAGATCACTTCCTTTGCTTAAAGTACTCAGGCTTTTGCGAAGTTAAAAAGTAGCAGAAAAGTAAATTAATGGCAGAATTAGTTGACAAATTTACTATAAAGTTTTGAATACCTAGCAGCAGCTGCAAATACTTTCCCAAGTTACTGCTTACTTTAATTCTCATCCATCACTTTGTTGTCATCTTCATCATTTAGAGGATGCTATACCCATACATGTACTATTTTAATCACTCAAAACAGTATGTCAGTATGATTGTTTCGCTGTTTTATATTTAGGGAACTGACACTGGAGTCATAGGTGGGAGAATCAATAGGATAATCTTCTTAACATGGAAGACACAGTGATACATATCTATTAGTGATACATGTCCTCTTTTCTTTAGAAGACCATATTCATTCTTTACAGGAGTATATCAGGAAATAGTAAGAGGTAATTCTCTTTATTTTCTTTCAGTCTGGCATACTCTGCTCCTTAATGGGGAATCTTCAGTCATATTGTTTTCCAGAAAAGGGCATGCTTCATCACTTCCTGCTAGCATGCCAGAAATATATCGATAGTTTTGATTGATATCATAAATGATTCCTCTTGCAAGGTGTTTAAGAATCTCTGTTTATAGCAGGTACCCCACATGGAACCTCTGGAAATCCACCAAAGTTCGGTGTTTTTGAGGCGTAGGCAGATCAACCTCATCAATCTACTAAAAATCAGAGGAAAATCTCCTGTTCAAAAGAAAGGATGAGGGAAGAACATGCAGGAGAGGAGGTTAGGGTACAGAACGACACCTGAATAATCTGTCTGGAACCTCTTAGACTTCTAACATTTTCTTTCAAAAAAACCCCATTAGGCTATTAATCAGAAACCTGAGAATTTTCCATTATTCCACACTCACGCTGGGCTGAAAGTGTCAGAAACATTTTTCTCTGAATGTCTGCAATAATATTTGATTAACCAGATTGCTTGTAAAAAAAAAATCATAAAAATAGAAATAAGCATTATTTGTGTTGGAGGTCATAAGAAGTTTTTCTCCTGCAGATGCTGTTACATATTTACACCACATAATTCATCCTGTCTATTTCTTAATACTGGGAAAGACTAGCAGGGTGCAAATTAACCAGAAAAGACTATTCAGGGCTTGATTGTGCCCCTCTGCTCCCCTGCACCTTCTCAAACAGAAGATTGAGAAGCTATTTGCTGTCCTCAAGAATAGGTCTCATTTTTATACTTGAAGGGCATTACTCATTCTATACTGGCATCTGTATTATAGTAGTGAGTGATAAATAGCTAACTTCTGACACAAACCATTTCTTTATCATTTTATTTTTAGACTTATTTGTGTTGTTTATGAAGAAATGGTTGCCCTTTGGTGGCAGGAACACAAAGTGCCTATGTTTTTTAAGGGTGGTGAGCCTTCTATGAAAATTGGTAAAAAATCCATTGTGCAGCATTTTGCTCAGATTTAGGCTGAAATGAAAACACGAGCCTTGCTTGGTCTAATCAACCTTGAACCCCTATCCCTTAGCAGAGAGGTCTTGAGGGGATAAAAATGTTTTTACAGCTTTTGCAGATGTYATCCTACTATGTACTAACAGGACATAAATTACTGCAGTATGTTTTTCTCATTATTAAAACTGTTTCCTATTTTTCCAGCAAACAATACTATTTTTTCTTACTCTAATGGCTCTAAATTAGGTTCTCTGCAAGACTGAGCTATTGCTCCTGCCTCTGTCTGAGGTTCTGTCTGCAGAGCTGGAGTGGCAGCAGAGGCGCATGTGCTTACTCCTTATTTGCTGTAGTTTGCAAATTAGTGAACTAACTAGAATTGGGATAAAATTCAATTTTATGTTAATACATCAGTATTAATATCAGTATTAACTACGATGGTTAAGTAATGGACTCAAACCAGTCTGATGATTTGTTTGATATTAGAGAGTAAAATCCAGCGAACAGGCAGGCGTGGGGAATACAGCATAATTACAAGTGATAGGAACCATGAATCACAGCCCTAAGCAAAGGAAGAGACTGGCATTTTACATACTGTTTCTGACCTTTCTAAAGAGCCTACAGCTCTGTGAAACAAACTTTGTAAGTCTGATGCTTCTAAGAGTATGCTTTATACCTGAAAAGTGCATTCAAGAGCACTTCACTGCCAGAAATACTTGCAGATGCAATGATACTTTGAAGTATAGTAATTTTAACTAGAATATTCAAGCAAACACTTTTATGTAAGCTAATAAGCAGATGTGCCAACCAGAGAAGAGCAACCTAAATTTTTGTCATCATCCTTCCAGTACCATCCTGCCTGTCTGTAATTTTTAAGAATAAAAAAATCAAACCAAAATACAAGTTTTAATAGCAGTCCACCGTCTTTCCAGTAGCATTCAGAGCTGCAGAATTCAGTAGGTGTTTTCTTGTCCATCAGTTCTGTGATAAAAACTCATAAATTGCAACACTGAAGCAAAGTCAGTGTGCGCATGGTTTTCATTCCAGTAACTGAAAATGTCAGTAATTCAAGTTAGTTCATGTCTCTTTCTGAGTACTTCAGAAGTGAGAAGAGATACCAGATATTCAGTTGAACAAATATCAGAAGTATTTGCCTAGCAGCATGCTTATCTTAGATTGTTGGACATGATTAATGAATGGCTGCTTGTGCAGCAAATCTTATGGTGCTTCAATGCTCAAAATGAGAGAACTAGAATYTATTTCTACATATAGCTTGGTAATCACGGTCAACATTTTACTGTTAACAAGTATGTCTGTTGCTAAGAAGCCAACTTATCTTTCCATTTTGGTAGGTGAAGCATGTCTTTTGGTCAAAGCATGCTATCTTTAGCACACAGAGGGTATTTTCTGTCCCACAGGGAAGACGAGGGACAGCCAAACTAGGCAGAAGTAGATTTGCTGGCTGGCCAACTGCTGGACTGCCAGAGATCAGTCTGAGCACCTGATTACCTAGCACCATGTTCCTAGTGGCTACAACAAAAACCCTGACAAAGCACTGGCTAAGAGCAATTTGGAAATATTTTGAAATTTCTATGTGTGATTCACAGATTTTAATTTTTTTAAACACATTTCACAAGAAATAAGTTTCTGATCTTTAACTTGGACTACATTTTTTCTCCTTTGAGGCAGGTAAAACTCTCATGAAACAGTAAAATTGTTTTCCGTGTATTTAAGGACTATGGTGTACAATGTGTTCTTTCTGCCTTTCTTCTCTACAAAAAGGAGAATGAGAACACTGAGGCAATTCTGGATCAGCCTTTCCAAGGTACTTCTTTGAACTGGCATGTGGGTGGCAACATTCAAAAGTGAAATGCAGGAGAGATGGCCACGTTCTTTTTGTAGAGGTCTGTTACAGTATGATGACTGCGGCCAGACAGTAGATGCATAAAGCAGAAGCCAATATGTTCATTCTTTAAATGCTTGCAAAATTACAGTAGGTCTGGGTTTAAGGAAACAGTTTCTTTATCTGTATAAACTATTTTGTTCTTTATTCACATTATCGGACAGAATTGTTATCGAGGCGGGGCGGGGGGAAGCTGTCATTACTCTCCAATGCCTGGAGTGGAGCCATGTGTATGATTTGCTAGTGTCTGACTGTCCCTCGTTTGTACTATAATGAATGGTCAGTGCTCAGACAGCAAAAATCCAATGAGCTTATTTTAATTCTTATAACATGTGACTGAGTTTCTCATACTAGGTTATAATTGACCTATGAGCTGCTTTTATTTTCTGCTTTCCCAGCCACTTAAACACAGTAGATACCTCCAGGGCACTTGTGAGTTTCAGCCAAAACAGAAGGATGAGGGGGTTGCAGCATTCATCTTAGATATTGTGATTTCAGCATTCAGCAATACATTTCTGGCATATATCCAGGCCAGCCAGGCTCCCAAGAGTCCCCAGTGTTTTCAGACATTTTTAAAGTGTATGAGATCGCTGTAAGGATCACTGAGAAAAAAAAGAATGGGGAGAGGAAGCAAGATCGCTTTATATTCTCCATGTGAACCAAGATGTCTCCAAATGAAAGCTGTTAAGGGGATATAATAAAATCTTTCTGTGTATAATTTCATGTAAAGCTACAGTGGTATAACTATGTAGAAGAGATCATTGGCTGCTCTGAAAGTTCAATCCAACTTCTCTGCAACCAGCATATTTTTTTTAATTGCAGATAGTTTGTAACAGTTATTCCTCCCATATCATCCTTTGATCATCACCATCATTTATCAAGTAAAACACCATGGGAATATTCTTAAAAGAAGGGCCTGACTTGCTAATCTTATGTCATCCTAACTATATTCTGTGTTCACAAAATTGTAAGGATTTCACTACATTTTTTCTACTTGATTATTCAAACTTCAACAATTGAGAGATATAATGGGCTGTCCCTTTTTACCAATTGTCCTAGTTCCTCATCTGTTTAAAGATTTATGATGACATATAAAAATAATGTTTCTTCTGAGTAGTTTTTGCAGTTAAGATTCTTTTCAGAGGACAGCATCGGTGTTTACGCTTTGTAGCCACACTTTTATTTCCCACATCCTGTGTTTAAAWTCAGTCAGTGCTCCTAGATACCTAAACAGGCAGACTACTGGTATCTAAAAGTTGTGACTCCAAGATCTTGCTGAATTTGGTTTTATCTCCAGTGTTGTTTTAATCTGTTTAGTTAAGCACTTAAAGGGTCCCAAATTAATTATAGTTAATTAATTATAGCTAATTTAGGCAATAAGCCAAGGATTGCACATATCTGCTTCAACATCAGTCTCACTGACCCCATGATTTCGGTCATCTCCCTCCTACTGGGACTGACCCAAACAAGTGCAGTTGAGACTATCCGAGGGCTAATGTCTCTGATAAGGCAGATCACCT